AAGCATAAAACCACATGCCCTAGATTATTTTTTTTTTATTTTTTTTATTAAAAAGTGATCTTCAAGAGTAAACTTTGAAAGAATTTTGCATGTATTGGTTTTAAGCAATTAGAATTTATATAGACTTTGTAAGATTTATGCATAATCATGATATGATGAAAGTGACTTTGTTTTTAAGAAATAACGTGGGATTTTCATTTTGGAAAATTTTATGAGTTTTGTAGGACATCTATGGGAGAAGAATTGAGATTTTGTGCATATATTTGTCATGAGGTTGTGAGGTGAATCTAAGCTTGATTGATTGGTTAGATTCAAAGTTATTAGAATTCAAGTGGAATATGATATTGATAATTAGTAGTTTGAAGGTTTTTAAAGATTTCTAAGATTTACAACAATTTGCTAGTTGGATTAAGATAAAACTTAGTAGGCTAGTAATTAATGCAAATCTTAATGTTAACATAAATTTTGGAAGCAAAATAAGAGTGCAAGCATGAGATTTTAATATTGAGAGCTCAACATCAAGGTTAGAGAAGAAAGTTGTATTGCATCTAAACACTATATATATATATATATATATATATATATATATATATATATATATATATATTTCCAAATTTTATATTAAATTCTACACAATATATCTAAGATTTTTTTAAATCAAAAGATTGATAGATTTATAAATTTTTAAGATAAAAATTAATTAAAAAATTACAAGAATCTTTATTATTGAAGGATTAATATATTACTAATTAAAATAGGTTAGGATTTAATTTAGATAGGATTAAGATTTTTTAAGGATTTAAATAGAATTTAGACAAGATTTTTTTAATGTTTTGATAAGAATTTGATGGATTTAATAAAGATTTTTTTAGAATTTATTTGAAATTATTTTAAGTTTAATAAGTTGTATCCATGAGTTTTTTTATAATAAAAAATTATACTTAAGAAATCTTTAAACTTGCTTAAGATCTTGTTTTATTTTTTCAAAATTTCATAGGTTATAATTTTAAATGAATATAAATAAAAATTTATTAAATTGACAATCCTAAGAGGATTAAGATTGCTAAGATGGATATAATAAACATCTTATGCATTTTTTTTGGATTGTTAAATCCAACTTTAAGATAAGTTAAAATTCTTTTATAAATAGATATTTAATATATTTTTATACTATTTTTTACTTAAAAAAATATAATTAGATTCAAAGATAGTATATTTTTTTATTCTTTCTTATTATTTGAATTATAAAAAAAAACAAAGCAAGAGAGTTGAAGTTAGAGCTTTTAATAGAGCTATAGATAGAGTTTCAAGAAAAGTTGTTAAGAGGAGATATAAGTAGAGCTACAAGTAGAGGCACTTTTAGAAAACAAAGTATATAATTTGATTCAAATTCTCTAAGCATGTTTAAAACATTTGCTTTATGTATGCAACATTAATAGTAGTAGATCAAGGATTAAAAAATAAAAAATAAAAAATAAAAAATAAACTTGACAAATGAAGTCTTATAAGCAATAGTAACAAGATAGACAAGTTTATACATAAAAATATCACAAAATAATCAAGATGTAGTATGATTGCTTACAAAAAGAGAAAAGAAAAAAGACATGATTGATATTCAAAGACTAATGCAAGCATCTAAGATAAAATTTCCTACTATAGAAGCAATATGTATTAATCAATCTCTATTAGCTACATCCATGAAAGAAGATATGGATCTTGATAAAATAATACAAGAAACAGAAGAGCTTTAAATTAAATTTATAAGACTTGAAGAAAAGACATCTAGTAGTGACTTAAAGTCTATTTCAAATAAGGATATGTTCAAAGGTGTATTTGGTGTTAAGATATTTTTTATACTTAAAAAAATTATATTGATTTCAATGAAATGATGTAATAATGTGTTATTTTTTAGAAATATGAGAAGGTAGAATTAAAATATGCTAGAATTTTTTTCAAATCAACTTTAATATTAGAAGCATAAAATTATTTATCTAAAATGATATTATAGCAAAAGATATTATAAGCTATGGTATAAGGATAGGTGATGATTACAAATCTAATAGAAATATAGAATCAAATAGACTTCGGTCATTTCTTTTATCTATTATGGAAAGAAAGAAAATGCCACAAATTCATTATTGCAAATATCTACTATGATTTATAATACAACATGTTGAGGAGATCCTATGGAAGTTTTTTACTGAATATATGTATTATTAAGACCTAACATGAGACTTTGATAGAAGAAAAGAAGAACAATTCTAAGCACATAAAGGAAGTAATTTCTTTAAAAAGACAAATTCAAAGAAATAAGCCATATGGAATGTTTTTGCAAGAAATATCAATAGAAGATGTTTTATGAATATTTAAAGGAAAAATCAAAAGATATAAAAGAAAAATACAGATTAGCTACTTAAAAATTACTTTCTAATATTAATGTAGCAACAACTTTGAAGGAGTTTTTTGAAGAATATTTACTCAATACTAAAGTTTTTTTTTTTTTTTTTTTTTTTGGTAATTGCTATGAAAGAGAATTTATAATACTTTTATTGATAGCATTAAACAAAAGAGACAATTAAAAAAATAAAGAAACATTATATTATGTTATTAATATAAGAAGATATAAGAATGAAGAAAAATATTTTTTTAAATGTGATAAATAATCAAAAAAATGAAAGAAGGCTTAATAATTGATATGTAAGTTTTGAAGAACAATAAGATGTAAGAAAAGTAGATTTAAGCCATTATACTCAACAACATTAGACTAAATCAATTGAAGAAGTATTGATGATGGATAGAATTATAGAAGAACCAATTATTGCATTAATTGATTATAATTTGGAAATAAATCTTATCTCTAAAGATCTTTATAAAAGATAGAAGTAGCCAATTGATATAAAACATAGATAGAAAATACAAGCAACTAAGAATACTTGAAGTGAATTATTATGATTCTTATTTAGATATAAAAATACAAATTGGTGATGTTAAAAATCTTATAAAGATTAAGATTGCTAATACGGATGCTTTTAAATACCTATAGCATTGTTTTTTGGATTATAAATCCAACTTTAAGGTAAGTTGAAATTCTTCCACTACCAAATATCTAATACATTTTTACACTAAATTTCACATAATACAACAACATTATATTCTTAATGTAGTATAACTTTATTATTACAATATTATTATCATGTATTATATAAGATGCACCTAAGTATTTCATTTTTTACAACTAATTAAAAAATGTGAGAATTAATAAATTTTCATATATTTTAAATTGTATATATAATGATAGTAAGATTTATAATTGTAAGATAGTATGATATATGATTGTAAGATTTTTATTGTTTATTATGCTTATTATTTCGTCAATGTCAAGCAATATCATCAGTTCATTATGCATGCAAGATGTACAAATTACATAGGTGTTGTGTATTTTACAAAAATAATATAATGAATATCAATACCATTACAAAAATATTTTGTTTTATTGTTTTCTGTAGGTAAATATATTCCTAAAAATTAAAGTATTTTTATAATGAGAAAAACTTTAGTACATAGTATGTAGAAGCCTAAACTCAGAATAAGATTGCAATATGATAGGTAGATCATATAGGCAATAGTATTTCCAGTATCTTTAATTGGAAGTAAAACCAATTGCTTTTCAATAAAATAAATTGTAATATAGGTAGTACAAAATTTGCAAGGGTGCAATTGTTAGTAAAATTGAGTACAAAATAAAATGTTGGGTCATGACCACATTGTGCCATTTGAAGCAATTGTGAATATTTAAAGATGTGATGTGATGATATTTTAATCACACACTTTTAAATTATAAATTTGTGTCTATATCAAGCTACATGATGTATTGATTTGTTGGTATTTGGTTGAAGACTGTCATTTTTTTAACGTTGCTATACTTTTTTTATTGCATGAATTTTTGTACTTTAATTCAAGTATATATATATATATATATATATATATTGCAATAACTAGTGGTTGTAGGGGATGATGTCCTGAAAAAAATACAATATTGCATATTGCCATACAAAGTGGTATTACATATTATTTGAAATGTAGTTTTTTATTTTTTATTTTATTTTTTAAGTTTTTATTTAAAACTAGTTGTTAGACATATTCATTAATATTACAAAGGTTACTAGTCTTAAGCATATTAATATATGCCATCCCCAATATACATAGATGTAAAAAAAAGTTTATTGTTTTTTATTTACTTAATTTGACGTCTTTCAACATGTCTAATTTTAAAGATTAGTTATCACAAATTAATTATCTTTATTTTATTAAACCACTGAAATGATATAAAAGATGGGGTGATTTTGAACTCTGCTCTTCTAAGCAAGGTTCGTTAAACCATTCATTATATATTTTTCTTCTTTTTATTTTATTTTATTTGTTTTACATATGATTGTTATAAGTTCTTCCTTACATATATATATACACATATATATATATATATATATATATATATACACATTATTTTACACATGGGATCATGGAATATTGACTCAACGAAAGACATCGTGTTTCCTATCTACAGTGGACAAAAAGAGGAATCTGCAATTGTGCTGTAAAATTTTCGATATTGCTCGTTAAGAGTTTCTGTTCTCAGGACCACACCGCTCTGCAGAAAACTACATGAGAAGTTGGGTGGGTGTCTACGAAGAGTTGATGCAGTATTGCGAAAATGGAGTAAGTGCTGTGGCATTTTCCAGACAGCGAAGAATAATATTCCAAACGCAATGGAAGCAAAGTATCATTCGTGGCTTCTTTGTTTCTTCAACGCAATAACATGAAGAAGCACCCAAAAAAAAAAACAGAAACACGATCTCACAGTACCTCTTGCATGCCGACGACTCACTCAACGACAAAGCATCTGCAAACCTATGCGTTGATAATGCTAATGATGCACTGGATTTTGAATTGGAAATGAGATGGTTGTACTCGAATACCTGTGGTGAAAAAAATGCCGGCGCATGTTCTGTCCATCTGGGTTTCTGTTGCAGTGTTGGTGACGAAACTCAAGTAGAAGTGTGGAAGAGCATGACATGCGGAACCTTTGTTGTGTAGCGATTTCTTCGCAATGTAACTGCAGTTCTTGTGCGTAAAAGAAAAAAAAAACGATTAGAAAGAAAGGTCTTCTTGCAGCCGAAATGGGATTCAAATTACTGCCATGTTGGGAGTTCCAGTCGGTCGTAGATCTACTCTTTTGTTGGGTTACGGGGACCAGCATCGCAAACCTCTCACTGCTCATGTCATCACCATAGCTAGGTCGATTCTGAGCAGAGCCAGTTAGTTAGCCCGGTACAGGAGTAACGTGCTGCCAACTCTGCTGTTTCGTGGAACTCGAATCGCTGGTGGATTTCCTGCTGCATTGTCGTAGAAACCCACCTAAATCTATTTCAAGTTTCTTCCTATCTGTGGGCAGCATTTCAAGGTATAATAACGCTCTCTTAAGGAATTCGTCAGGCGTTTTTTTTCGAGAGGCCGAGCCCGTGGCATTGCTCGTCATCGCTGTCGGAGGACGTGGTAAGAGTGGCTCGCAATTTTTGGGTGGGTTTGGGGGCATCTTGGAGATTTTTGGTTAATGAACCTTCGAGTTGATGGGTGGGATGCGACGGGTTTGTAAGGTTTTGAGCGGAGTGGAAGTTGTCCCCAATAGTTGCGCAAGCTGCATTCTCTCGCGTTCTTTTTTTGCTTAGTGCCGCTGTGACTTGTTCATTTGCATCTTAGAGCCGCTGTAATGTTTTTGGATACGCTCTTTGCAGCCCTTGAATCTTTCTTTTTTACGTGATTCATAGGTTTTTAATTTTTTTACTTTTTTAATTAAGCATTCGAGATTCATTCAAAGCTTGCCATTGTATATGGTGGTCGATTTACACTGGTATTAATAATTTCAACAGAACCATTTGCATTGCGTATGTAGACAGGACTCCCGTTGTAAATCTGCTATCCTAGGTTCAGCTTTGCAAGTCCCGGCCTTTTCCTTATAACTAGCTCGTCTAAAGTGTACGCTTAGTTGCATTTGGCATTCGTAACTCAGAAAAATAGGTCTTATTGATAAACCTTGTGTCTGATTTCCAGCATGGAAGTCACTAGTATGGTGATGTAGGTCAGTTTTTTTAATATGGGTCGTTCTTGCAGATGCGGTTTCCCTTGATAATGAGGTGATTTAGAAACTCCAACTTTTCAGATCAGCTTTTGTCTTGAAAGCATAGGAACTCACATCACACCATGGGGCCGCTTGCGGCGGAGGATGAGCTGGGTTCATTTCCGCAGGAATTGAAGGTCGACGAACATTTACGTTCACTGCCGAGCATCACCAGTGGAGAGTTATCTCGACACAACAAGACTGATGATCTGTGGATCTCTATTCAAGGCAAAGTGTACAATGTCACAGGGTGGCTCAGGAAGCATCCAGGTGGTGAAATCCCGTTGCTCCATCTTGCAGGCCAGGATGTTACAGACGCATTTCTTGCATTTCACCCAGGCACGGCATGGAATCTCCTCCCTCAGTTCCTTGTAGGGACTCTATCTGACTACGACGTTCCTCTTGTGGCTGAGGAGCACAGACGACTACTCAGGGAATTCAAGAAAGCTGGATTGTACAAGAATCCACTGAACGTCTATGCTTTGTACGCCTGCTGGGTGGTTCCATTACTTGCCCTGTCAGTGCTTGGGGTCTTATACTCACAAAGTTTCATGGTGCACATGCTGAGTGCTGCTATGTTGGGCGTTGTGTGGAATCAAAGTGGTTGGGTGGGACACGACACAGGTCACTGCGGGATGTTCAAAAATCCCAACATCGACAGATGGTTTGCTATTATCGTTGGAGATTGCTTGTCAGGGATTAGCATGGGATGGTGGAAGAGGAACCACAACGCTCATCACATTGCTTGTAACAGCATTGAATATGATCCAGATCTTCAGTACATCCCCCTCTTTGCCGTGACATCCAAACTCTTCTCAAACCTTTACTCCTACTTCTATGACAGGGTTATGCCATTCGATGGTCTGGCTCGCTCTCTCATTGCCTACCAGCACTGGACATTTTATCCTATCATGGCTGTGGCTCGCGTGAACCTCTTTGTTCAATCCCTTTTAGTGTTGACCTCAAAGAAGCATGTACCAGACAGGTGGCTGGAGCTCGGTGCGATTGGTTTCTTCTACCTGTGGTTCTTCACCCTTCTTTCTTATCTACCAAGTTCGGAGAGGCTCGTATTTGTTCTCGTTAGTTTTGCCGTGACTGGGATCCAGCACGTGCAGTTCTGCCTGAACCATTTCTCTTCGCCGGTGTACCAAGGGCAGCCGAAGAGCAAGGCTTGGGTTGAGTCTCAAGCACGCGGCACTCTTAATCTGTCCACACCTGCCTACATGGATTGGTTTCATGGAGGTCTTCAGTTCCAGATTGAACATCATCTCTTCCCTACGTTGCCTCGCCATAACCTCAGAAAGGTTACCAAGTTTGTGAGACCCTTCTGTGAGAAGCATGGTCTGCCGTATGAATCCGTCAGCTTCTGGGAAGCTAACCGGATGATCATCAGGACGCTTAGGACAGCTGCTTTGCAAGCTCGGGATTTTACTAAACCTGCCCCGGCCCTTTCAGAGAGTCTCTTGTGGGAAGCTGTGAACTCCAAGGGTTGAGGTAAACATCATTTGAGCTATTGAATTCATTACCAATAGGGTACCAATCGTTATTCTATTGTACCATCACACTTAGGCGTCTCTCATTGTTTAGATTAGTTGTCTTCTGGATTAAAAATCCAATTCATAAGATTCAGAAATATTAGGATCTTTGCCCTAGATCTTCAATTTTATCATCCCTGCAATGCATTCTGAAAGTTGCTTCGACTGATAGTGTACAAGCCACCATTATTACCGATTTGTATGTGTTCAGTGTTGTATTTAGTGAAGATGTCATTCAGTGTGGATGTCACTGGTGATCTATAGTTGGAAACGAGAAACCAAATGTACACAGCACCTAACTTGATGTGATTAAAATAGTGAGTCTAACTAAGATACGTGTAACTAAAGTTGGTCTAACTAAAATACAAAAGTTGATCGGGTCAGATCTTCTACACACATTCCAAAGCTCAAACTCGCAGGCAAGTGATCAACTCAATTTAGAATATGTAGTGGTTCTTTATCCACTGTGTAGTATTTGACTGGCAAGATGTTATTTGATGCCTTCTGATCCCAGAGGGATTGGTTGGCATGACAAGCTATCTGAAAGGCAGTCCTTTGTCAGAAGAGACTCGTGGGAACTTGTAGGAAGAATAGTCTCTTGTCTTGAGCTGTTTGTTATGCAAACATACAGCCCATGTAGATAAACTATGGTACCTTTGTTTTTGTACTAGTTGTAGAGAGGCTTGAAGTCACCGTTCAATTTTGGTAACTTTAATATCGCCAATTATCAAATTGACACAACAAACATGAGTGGATAGTTTTACAGAAAAAATTATCAAAGCATATTTTGTTAAAATTGATACTACAAAAGTCTTAGATTTATAATGAGCTTGATTCTATAAGACTTATTCCTTGTACAGCTTGCCTAAAGTATTCTAGCCAAGTTTGTAGTTTATGGATGGGGATTTTAATCATTAAACTTTGGAAACATGTTTGTCAAAGTTTTTCAAAGTTTGTCAAATTGTTGTTTTTGTTTTTGTTTTTGTTAGTTTGTTTGTTTTTTTATTTTGTTTTTTTCTTTTCTTTTCTTTTACTTTTATTTTTTATTTTATTGATTTACAACTAACAAGTAATGAAGGTATAATGTTAAAAAAAAGAAAAAAAGAAAAAACTCTATTAATGACTTCATATCTTTGTTTCAAATACTAATACCTTAATTTCTTAAAATTGAGAGGGATTTTAAAATAAAATATGTTCATGCAAAAATTTGGTAGTTATAGCCATTGTATTTATGTTTAGTATTATAGCTTCAATCTATTTGGTGACATAATATTATTGCTTCTAAATTGTATTAAACTTTTGCTATTGGTTTGAAAGACTTAATAAAGTCATATTTCTATTAAATAAATTACTTTTTTAGGAATAATGTTAATAAAGACACAAGTATTGTTTGTGACATATTATTTATTTGTTAGTAGTTGTCACATATACTATAATAATTGCATATTTTTTTGTGCAAGATTAGTTTTTAATAGCATTTTTTAGAACTTTTTAAGCCATGATTTAAAAACAACAAAAGCCACTTGCTACTTTTAAATGCATCTCTTGTATAATCAATTCAATCTTAAGAGATTTTAATATCTAGTATAAAAACAAATATATGCTTTCCTAATATAATATTCCATCTAATGGTACAAAATATAAAGGGATATTGCTCAACTTCAAGTAATGTTGAATATTTATAAGCCACTCAAATTTTATGTAGAAGAGTATAACATCAATTTTTTTATTAGACATATCCATTAGAGATTCTCCATGTATGCTCTTGCTTATTAAATTTTCTATTCTATAGAATTTTCTTTGCTTGTAAACCACTATTAAATCAAATTCTAAAAATTAATTAGAAAATAGAATTTCTTTTACATGGTTGAGGTGCTTTTATATATATATATATATATATATAAGAAATCATACTACTTTTTTGCTTAATACATAATAGTAAAAATTTTATAATTTTTAATTATTATGGCTCATTTTATACTATTATATTAGATTTAAAAACTTTCACTTGAATTAGTTTTTGGTCTACCAAAGTAATTTCTTGATTTTTTTTGAAATTTAATTTTATATTTATATAGAAGTTGATAATAGTCATAGGAATTTCTTAAGAAGTTGCAATTGAAAGAAGGCATTTAAACCATTTTTTTTTTACAAAATGAGATTTTTTACAATTTTAGTATTTGAATCTCGTTTTTGATTTGATTTTTTTTGATTTTTTTTGTATTTTTTATAGTAAATTCCCAAAAAACTACATGGAAGTATATGCAGAAGGTATTTTTTTGGAGATATCTATTTAAAATTCCACAAATATTATGAAGCCTATTTTTTTTAATATCTTCTTAATATTGGATTATATTAGATAGATATTCTATGTCAAAAAGTATTTTTTTGTTTTGGTGATAGAATTTTGGATAATATACTAGCTTAAATCAAAACTTTAATATATGTATATATATATGTTAATATTTACTCTAAAATATTTGTAGTCAATTGTATTTTGTATGTAGATTATATTTATTGCAATATAGTAACTTCGAACTAAAGATGTATGCTATGATTATTAAAAATTAACAACTTAGAATTATATATGAGGACTTCCAATAAAAGTCTACATAATAACTATTGATTAAAGGACAAGTGACTATAGTTGGTTTGTAAGTATAACATCTAAGTTTTTTTTTTTTTTTTTTTTTTTTTTTATATCCTTGGTCCATCTAGTTTTATCACATCTAGAAAGTCTTTCAATTGCAACTTCTTAAGTTGGTGTTGTTGTAGTATATCTCTTAGTCAATAAAATTTTAGATTTGTTACCATTAGATGTGCTGGACCTTACACAATAATCTATTTATTTTCCAATTTATAATAAAAAGTAACATGGTTGTAGCAATAATTTTATATTTGTCTTAAATATTCTAAATACATAATATGTTTATTAATTAGTTGTGGTTTATTAGATCTTACGACTAAAACACAATTTTGGAGTTAATTAATAAATTATCATAAGAAAGAATTTTTTTTTTTGTTGTTTAAAATATTATTTTGAAATTAAGTACTCACAGTATTGTTTTAATTTTCTCTACCTTATTTTTAATTCTTTGAGGTAATTTTCTTTCTTTTTAAAATCCTAGAAGGACCATGCAATTAGTATTTAATTACTTCTTATATTATTATATCATAATTTATAATATTATTTTAAGTTTATTTCATTACGTCATTGATTCTGAAACTCAAAATAATAATAAAAACTAAAATAATTTGTATAATAATGTATAATACATCATAATAAAGATTTTTGACATACATTAGTAGCTTTAATTATACAATCTTATAAAAGTCTTATTATTTATAATCACATGTTAAATAGAATTTTATTTATTCAAATAAGTCTTCTTCTTTAATTAAGTTGAGTCATGTTTGGCAATAATATGATTGCTCACATTTAGTAAGCAATAACCATATAGTTTTAATATCACATTTGTTTCCAAGTTTTAATTAAAATTATGATATTTAGATTCTAGAAAATAGAACAAGAAGAAATTTAGAAATTAGAGAGTTAATTATTACTAACTGAATTAGAAGTTAATAATTGGATGGTTGTTAGTGGATAAAGGTTGTAGTTATTTTGGTAGAAAGAAATTAGAGTCAATTACTAAAAATATTAGGACTTAATAAAGTTCTTTTCAAAAAATAGAAGAAATAGTTTAATTGTAATTTTTTTGTATTGTCATGAATATAGTTAAAAATATTTGATTTTTTGTGATATCAGTGTAATGATTTTTAATTATGAAAAAAGTTTGGCTGATGTGAGTTATAAATATTGTTAGAAATCCAATTTTTTTCATTTTTAGAAAACAATTAAGTGAGTCATAACAATAAGATTTAAAAAAGACTAGATCGTTAAATGTACTTGAAGAAGTATTAGCCAATTAATTATTAAAATTTATATTATTATATAATTAATCTTAATAATTATTTATTTAATTATTTTTTTGTTTATTGATTTCCTTATTGTATTATAAGAGATAGAATATTTGGTTACTTTGATGAGATAAAAATATCTACTGTATAAGAAGGAGTCATGTTATATGACTAAATGTAATTAAGTAAGAATAAAGACTTGCAAAGCTAAATTTGATCTAAATGAACATTTTCAACTTGACTTATTTAAGTTGAGCTTATTAAAGAAAAATCCACAATAATATGAAAATAAAACAAATATCACCATCAATGTTAGGTTTTTAAATATTTTTATTAAAGTATAAACAAGAATATATATATATATATATATATAAAAAAAATTATGAGATAAAGATAGATAAAAAAAGAAAAAAATTGTTAAACAAATATTATAAAGTGAAGTAATATAGTATATAAAGATTTTATACCAATTCAAAAAAATAAAATAACATAATCTACTTATAATTTTTTTGTTATATATATAATTATTTTAAATAAATAATTTTATTTAATTATAATGTTTGAAAGAATTTTTACTTAAAATAAATTATTTTGATTTTATTATAAAAATTTAAAAAATAATTAGAATATATTATTACAAATTGAAATTATAAATTAGATTTTTTTTGTAACTTTAAAGCTTTTGGAAGAATTAAATAATTAAGATATAAAAGAGAAATATTAAATAATAAGAAAATAAATTTTAAAAAATTATTTTATTATTTTTGAAATAAAAGAAAGAAGTAATTATCTTATAGTTGATTAAATACTTAATTTTATTATCAAATTTAGGAAAATTGGTAATTTTAAGAAATTATATGTATTTAATAAAAAAATATCTATTATCTAATTAAGTATAATTTCAGAAAATAAGAACTTAGCTATATTATTTTGACATGTAGTTTTATTTTTATTTTTATTTTTAAACTATAATGTTATAAGAAAATCATTTTTTACAATAGATTGGCTAAAAAATAAAGAATTCGCAAAAAAATATAGTATTTGATAAAATAATAAAAAAATATTAAAGCTTAATATATTTAATATTAGAAATATTAAAAAATATTTTACATAAAATTTAATTGTTATTAATGTAGATAAAAAAACACCTTAGTTTTTTTTAAATAAATCAAATAAAAATAAAATATATAAATTAATGTGGTCTAATGATTAAAAATTAATTATTTATATGAAAAAATTAAATGGCTTTTAAAGCCCTAAGCTTATGTAATAGATAGCCATGATTAGTAATATATTTACTTAGATAAGTAGAACTAAGTAGAAGTATACAGAAGTAGGTTAAATTATTGATATCTTCTTGAAAGCTTCATAGAAGCTTTGTAGATTTTATGTATATTTATAAGTAACTGGTAGGTAGACAATTTGGCCAACAAGTTGGCAATATGGCACACATATCAAAAATTTGTCCTATAAGTTAGATACATGTCATATAACCCATGGAACATTGCCACATAGTGCTTTATTAGATAGTATGTTTAGAAGCAAAAGTAACGCCTTTCTCACTCTTATTAATATCTTTTTTGTATGCTTGTCTAAGCTTAAGAGTCTTGAATCTCTTTGTATTTGGTAATAGTCATTCTACTTCCTATCTTATGTCTATCTTTGATTTGCCTACTTCCTCTATTTGAATGTTATAAGAGTATATAGTTTCTTTGTAGTTTTATTATAAATTATATCTCTAATAGTTTTACAAGTGTTTTAGTTTATTATACTTGTTCAATTTTAAAAGTGAATAAATTATTCTAGCTCTTAGTATTATATTTCAAAGGTTTTGGACTACCTAAGTTTAGAATAACATTTTTTGTTTTCTAATATTAATATTATTTTTAAAGAAAGTGAACTATTCTCTTTTATTATGATTCATATCTTTAACAACTTATAACTTATTTATTTAATAGTAAAATAGCCAAATTTAATATCTAATAGTCTTTTAGAAATTTATAAAATTTATAAAATAAAAATTTAATAAATATGAAGTGTATTGTTAGAAGTATAAAAATGTAGCCAAATTAATATGATTTTAGCCAAAAATCTCTTGATTCTATAATGAGTATATAGTTTTATATATTATTTTAAAAAAAAAATAGTTAAATTATAATTTGTAATAGTATTTATTTTAAAATAAATTATATCATTAAATTTATTTTTTATTTTTATTTTTTTTTCAATCTTATAAATCTAAAACTATATGTCAATAGACTTGGTCTTTGATTTAATATATAATTCTTAGAATCAAAGTAAAAGTCAATAATAGATTCATAAGAATTTAGGTTTTTTTTACTATTTTTAAGTAATATGTTATTCTTATAATATTATAATATATTAAAAAAGTTTTTTTATTTAAATTTTAAATATAAAATATTATTATTTTTGAATAAAAAATATTTAAATAAGTTTCTACTTGGTATATATCAACTTCAATTGGTCTAGTTATAATAAATTATATATTTTTTTTAACTCTAAAAGATGAATTAGATATTTAGAATATTTCTTAAAAAATATTTTTTAAAATTATATATATTTTTTTAATATTTAAAATTAAGTGAATTTTATCCAATGCACAACACATTTTTTTATATCTAGAAAATTTACTAATAATATAAAATTATTACATATGCTATTTTAGAATAATTGTAAGTTCTACTATTGCTTTATATAAGCTTATAAAAAATGTATTTAAATTATAATGATTAGTAGCAAGAACATCAATGTTTATAAGACAATGGTAGATACTATCATCTCACCCCCCATTTAAAGATTCTTAGATAATATTTTACTAATTAGCAAAAGTGAAAATTGAGAAGAAGCAAGGCCCACACTCGTCTAGGCCTCCAGGAAACCGAAAAAGTACTTGGTTGTGCCTTAAATAATACAGAAATGGACGTTTCTGAAGGACGATGCTGAGGTTCCCCTGGTGATCGAAACCCTTTCAGATTTTATTGAAATCATAAAAATAGTATTTAACTCTTCAGGAGGTGATGAGATGCACTTCCTTCTTCACTCCCTTCTTTCGTCCTTCCCCTTCTTCCTTCGTCAACAACAGCCATGATGGGTATCCGGAGAGCCGATTTTGTTGGACATGGTTGCACTGGAGACGGGGTCAACAACTGCTATTGCAGTCAAGTCCATCTCAATCTTGCCAGCTTCGCCATTGCCCATTTTACTCCCTGCTACCGTAATACCCACATCCGGGTTTCCAGACAGAAAATTGAGAAGAAAACAACGTGAAAATGCTTCCGAAGGCAACTGGGAGCTGCAATGGTAGAATGGTGATGGAGATAAAAGAGAGAGACAGAGTGAGCAAGAGTAAGAGAGCGAGTGAGCACTGCGGCTGACTGGATCCTAGACAGTGATGGGGATTCCATGGCTCAGCTACAGTTGCAAATGCGTAGCTGTGCCATTGTGAAGCTTGTGGAGCAAGAGAGTCGGGTTTGAGAATTTTGACGAGTTTGACGAGTTGGGGTACTTACCAAGTCCCGCGGTTGCTACGACTGAGTTGTTTTGGGTGATTGAAGAGATCCTAGCAAAAGAAACCTTATGAAGCATTTTGGATCTTTGGCCGGCCGTGTCGGGTACTTTTGAGTCCACATCTGTCACCCAGTCTCCACGTCCCAGCACTTCGTGGATGCTCATCCTATTCTCCTTCTCGCTGGCAATTCGTTTCACAGAGCCCACTAGCTCCCATGTCATGTTTCTCACCATGCTCTGTTGCTCATAAAGCTCTTTTTTTTGCACGAAAGCGACCGAGGTTGTACATGGAACCTGGAAATCTTGCAGTTGTTGATTTCGTGGAACTACTGCAGATCATGCTTGACGTTGCTGTACGTGGGGGATGGACCTGAGGTTCTTCTGAGGGTTATCAGTAAATCGCAGAAAGGGAAGGTATCTGACAAGTGGATCATGGGAGAGGGGAGGGTCGGGGGTATATACTTCACAGTTTTCCGTCGTTGCAGAGTTGGGTAGGGCTCCTGCCATCTTTTGAATTGAAGCAGACTCTAGAGGAGGGTCCCTAAAGTAAATGTAAATCACAGACATCCTCCGCGTACGTTGCCTCGGGATTATGCAAGCCTCGATCATTGGAGCTAATTTTATTTATTTATTTTTATATTTATTTTCATAGCTGGGAATTCGGATCTGAGTGTGGTAAGCCAGCCCAGGCTGAGTGTGGTAAGCTAGCCGAGGCTGAGTGTGAAGGAGGTTATTGACTCGGTTGGTTGTAACTTGTCAAGCTCGGGGCACCAGACTTGCTGAGTCGAGTGGACAAGTTACCAAAGGTCAGGTACCCTGTCACGCCATTGTCGGACTGATTCCACGTCAAGAAGCTCACAAAGAAGCTGTCATCTCAAACGACCTGCTCAAAGTACTTATGACATTGTCCCTGATGTGTAGCTTCGGCTGCACTTGTACTCTGCCCCCTGTCCTGTGCACTACGACCACGGAGAAACTGTTTGATTTGTATCTGGTGGTGGTGCCAGGAGTTCAGGATATTTCTTCACGCTACTTGTTCCTCAAAGTGACAGGAAGGAATTACAGAGGATGCGAATTTATCTTCGCAGCTTGTGAGGAGATCAAATTCTTTGACTAGTACGCGCTGGTGGGATCAGGGTGGGAGAAAGAGAGGGGGACCGTGGAAAACGTTACTATTCCCAGAGGTAGGATTTTGGGACTCTGGGATCAATTGTGAGACTAGGGCATCAGGGCAGCTTTTTCCATGTGGGGGTGGATGTCAAGGTGCTCTCCACCATCAGTGATGTACCCCTTCGAGGACGTCTACGCATTTCTCTGCATGTCTTCTCCCTGCTTATTGCATCACTGTACTGCGCTCGCACAGTATGTGGTGAAGAATAGCAAAGCATCTTCCAGGAGCTCTTACACCTAGTCCAGGATCAAGACGTCTCCAAATTACACAGTAAAGTCATTGCTCCATACCAAACTGATGTTCACTGTTTACTGGCTCAAAGCATACAAATGTTTGTGTTGGGACGTAGATTGGGATGACTTCACCTGTGGAGTGAGAGAAACGCCAGCGAGAGAGATAGAGAGAGAGAGAGAGAGAAAGAGAGAGATTCTGTCTAGATATCAATCACCTTGATAGGAGACTTTTGAACTAACGTCGGTTGCTTTAAGAGCTCGCAGGTCCAGTTGTTGCACCGTACACACTACTAAAAGCGGTCTCCGAAAACAAGCTAAAATGTCGTAGATCATTACAATCCTTCCTTGAGTTGTCTATGTGCTTAACAACATTTGAGAAAGGTCTTGCCTCCGTGGTTTCGAGGAAAGAAACTTCGTACAGCTTTCAATGTTCTACAATGATCAATTAAATCCCCAGTGTATGACATTGTGCCAATGCTCACTTTGTGGTTGTTTGAAAAGAAGCGTGTGTAGGGAAGACGACAGCATTGCACTGCGCATGATCTCTCGTCTAAGAGAAAGAACTGGGAGTTTCGAAACTTTAGGGGTTGTTCCCTTGGCGCCTGAACATTCTGTGAGGGGGAAGCTATCGTGATGCTTTTAGACTGCTGGACGATGTCCAGCGCTTCTCTCCTATAACTCGAGAACTGGAACGTTTATCGTGTCTCGTGGTGACGGACTTGCAGAAGTCGTTGATTTAGGCGCAGGCCCGGAGATGAAATCAACGCTTCCGTGGGGGGAACGAGGACACCTAACATGAAGGCTGCTTCTGGAAGTGGATCATCCGTGCGGTGAATAGGAGATGCGAGGCTGTTTATCACATTGTACTATACAAGGAAACCAAACAACCATGCTCAACAACATCGGTCTTGTCTAGTTTGCGCTCAGATGCAGAGTTCAGACAGTTCAGGAATCCTACAAGTAGTGGAGGAATCAGACGTAAGTCATGTCATCGGGATCTAGCGCTCCGAAAAGTTCGAATGCAGCTACTTCCGTGCTTTCCCAAGCATCCGGTGGGTTTCATTGTTCCGACTCTAGATCAAGGACCCCAAAGAGAAAGAGGCTCTCAAAACCAGAGGAATCGTGGAATAGCACGGAGAGCAGCGACACCACTCCAGAGTTGGATAGCAGCTCCGCAGAGGGCCCCAATCGGTTGAGTGCGGGGGCAATGAGCAAGAAAAGGTTTGTGGGTGTACGGCAGCGACCATCCGGCAGATGGGTCGCGGAAATTAAAGACACCACGCAGAAGATTCGTTTGTGGCTGGGGACGTTTGATTCAGCCGAGGAGGGAGCCAAGGCGTATGATAGTGGTATGTCCTAACATTTACCATCGTCTTCTGCAAGAATGATTGTGACTTCGATATGCTCTTTACGGTGTTTTGGCTCAACGATTACAAACTGATGTTTCTGCAGCCGCAAGGGCTTTGAGGGGGAACAATACACGCACCAATTTCGTCCCTGCCCTGCAATCGAGTGAGAGTTCGATCCCTGCTTCCAAAGCCGCTCGCCTCATCTTTCTTCGGAAAATTGCAGCCTCAAAATCCAAATGCTGCGAGAAAGATCAGAAGCAAAAAGCCGGCTGCGACGCCAAGAAGCAGCAGGATGCAACTAGCCAAGTAGACCAGGATAGGCAGGAACAACTTCCAAGGTTTCCAGCTGAAACAACATGTCCTGATCTTTTCAACCACAGACTTTCTGCAGGAACAAAGCAGGAACATGATGGTACACTCTTGGCTGCAGAGAATGATGCCCCCAAGCTCGAGGAAGGCCTCGTATCTGTTGCAGTATCTCACCAGAGGCATGCCTCCTCCTGTAATCTCTCCGCTTCTTCATCCAGAATCCCTACCTTTGATTGTCCGAAACCAAACCTCGGAGTGGACAAAGACAACACACACTTGGAAATTGCAACAGATTTACCCAATATAACGACTGCAGGTCAAGAAGTTGACAAGCCCCAATCACCAATTCCGTTAACAGAACCTGATAACGACACCCTGCAGGGTTCATCAGCGATCTCACATCAAACTATTACGGCATTGGAAGCAAAGCCAATCACCAACAGGTCGGATCACGTCAGCGCCGATGCGCCACACAAGGAAGTTGCAAGGTATGGACGCGATACCAAGAGTTCAGAAGATGGAAGATGCAGGGTGATAAAGAAATCTGGATGTTGTGGAACACAAGAAGCGTTAACAATTCCAATTGGGGAGATGGCTGAGGTAGAGTATGCAAGCTCTAACAAGTCTACTGTTTTGGAGCTGAACACACAACTCGACAAGCCCGTTCTACGAGAGAAAGACCTCTCAGAAACAACGTTAGAAGTTCCTGAAATCCCCTGGTCGGATTTCGCGTTCATGGATGGGCTGGACATAGGCTGCGAATGCTCTGGGGCCTATACCTCTGACTTCGATTTCTCAGCGGAGGCCATCGACAGAGACTCTTGCAACACGAGCTACGTTTTGAAGGAACAGTACATGTCCGACGAGTCCAACAAATCCTTGCTCGAGGTACCACAATACAATCACTCTGCCAGTTGTTCCAATACCTTTCAAGGATGCCCACTTCCCACAGACCCCAGCTCCGCATTGGAGTCCTGCTGCTGTTTGTCACCATCTTCATTGTCTCCCCAAGATCACTTACGTCACAGTCTCTTCATCTCACCATTGCTGCAGTGGAAGATACGAGATCGACAACCGAATGTCAGCATTGATATCTCCATGGCTGCTGCCACGAGTTCTGATCGCTGCGAAAGCTCCAGTCACAACTACAAGTCCTGTCCAGTTCGACGTATTCCACACTAATTTTAAAAATAGCATGATCGGCGTAATACTGCAATATTCTAGGTTTGTTTAGTACCCTATTAGACAGACTGTAGAGCAATTGCACCTCAACATTTGGGGTGGTGTTCGATAAGGGACCACAAAAGACGTCAATATATACCATTTTCACCGACTGATTATATCAGGAGGAAGGAGCACCCAACTGGTTTGGTTCTCATTACCAGAGAACATTTTATCTCTTGTCAATGGAGGATTGATCAGATTGTTAAGTTTCACAAGACGAGTTCTTCTTGCACAGTGCAACATAAGAACCACTTCAATAGTCAAAACCAACTGTGGGGTTCAGTTTCAAAAGGTATTTATCTCTTATTTTTGGCTGGTGATCTTCACGAAGTTCCGTTTGCATGTCTTGAGGAAATCAGAAATGCACCTAAACTGTACAAATGACCTCTTGTATGTGTTTCTGTTGTTTTGGTGTAAAGACGATATCATCTAGTGCCCTTCCAATCCTTAACATACCATAAAACCCTAGTAGTAGTAATTATTATGTTTCTATTAAAATCTTCATGTTGGGGTTTTTATTCAGATAACTATTACAAGATCCTATAAATAACTAAATTTATATTTTGTGATATATCTTGTTCTTTCAAAAATAAAAAGTTCTTAAGAATTTTTAAATATGTAATGTTTTTACCTTTATTTTATTTTTTCAACGTTGTATAATTGTTTACATACATATTTAATTAAAGTTGAAATTGATGTATCATCGAATTTAAATAAATCCAAAAGATTCTAAATATTTCAATTATAATTTTTTAATGGATGAATTTATATATCTATCTATATATATATATATATATATATATACATATATCAGAAGTATTATTATAAGTATTATTAATTAATTATTTTATGAGAATGATTTTTTAAAATCCAAATCTATAAGTTTTAATTTTTTTAATTAAAAATTCATTTTAAGGTTAATTTTTTATTTATTTATTGATATTTAAACTATTTTTGTTGTAGATAAAGTTCTACTAATGTTTTTTTATTTTTTTTCTTTTGACTTGGTGTAACTATTTATTACTAGAGCATTATCTGTACAAACTTTCTTTTACTATATGCACTACTATTTAAAAGATATCTAATTTTTATCTTTCATATATTTTTATATTTTTTAATAATTTTTTATAAATAAAATTTTAAATTTTTAAGAATATTTAATACCATATTTTATAATAATTATTTAAATTCTTTTAAAATTTTAATAATAATGATCCACAGCTAGTTTATATATTCCATCCATATAAGTTATTAAAATGTAAACCAATATATATTTTGGTTCTTATATTTAATCTATTTATAGCCTTTGATAATATAACTAAGAGAGAGGTTTAATTTTCTTATTTAAATCTATCCCTAAAATAAAATAGTACTATTACCACACAATAGTTTCAAATATATAAACCAGTCTATATACAATTTTAATTCTTTGTTATATCTAAGAAAATGTCAGTATTCTTAGACAACTTCTATGTAATTTAATATATATATATATATATATATATACACACACCTTTAAATTTATAAATATTATGAAAATCTCATTGAAATTTCTTGATTTTAAATTAAATTATAATTAAAATTAAATTTATTGTAGTATTAAATTTATATATTAAATTTACATACTTTAATAAATATAAATTATATTTTATAATTTATTAAAATCTAAATAAATAAAAATTTAAGTATTGATAAAGTCTTAAAGTTAAATAAATAATAAAGATCTTCAAAAATATAATAGTAAAATTCTTTTAGAGTACCAAATTCTTAAAACTTACATTACCTTAAGGATTTAAAAATGAGGGACCAAACTATGAAGAAGCATAAGAAAAATAAGATGTTATAATAGAAATAATATTAGATGTATAATAAAAAAAAAAATGTAGCACTCAGATTAGTAGAAACATTGTATCAATAAGATCAATGTTTTAATTATAATATTTCTTTATCTTTTCTATAGAAATTATTCACATAATGATTTTTAAATTTTTTTTAAAGTACTTTGTATTTAAATTCTACTTTCTACTTAAATTCTAGTTGATATTTTTAGTAGTAGTTTGCAACAATTTTATATTATCTTTAATCCTCTTATCAGTAATATTATATTAATTTTTAGATAATTTTTTTAATTAATGAATCTTTTAATAATAGATTTTTATTATTTTTAGGATCACATATATATATATAGATAATAATAAAAAATTAAACTTATATATATATATATATATATATATCCCCACACAGGAAGAATAATAAATTAAATATAAAAATGTATTTTTTATGGTAAAAAATTAATCCAATCATCTTATTATTACATTATACAACAAGAAAAATATAGGTTCAAATGTTGGTTGATGTTTGTTGTTTGACCATCAATTTTTAGATAGTTCTTGAATACAAGAATTAAACTTAATGCCAAGAGTTGAATAATATATCTCTAAGAGTTAAATGAAAATTAAAATCCTTACTTTAATACAATGCATTTTAGAAGTCTATAAATATGGCACATATGTTAAGAAAATATATGAATGTTTCTTTATGACAAATAATTATTTTGTACAAAAAAAAATAGCCATCACAATGAATTGGTCTCTAATTATTAAAGTTAAACCTGTACCCTCAAAAAAGAATATATTTTCAATAAAATCTATTATTTATCAAGATTATGTCTTATTTAAAACATAAAGTGATTGAAACAATCCATTTGACTAATTCCTTACAATTTTTGCTCTTGCATATGTTATACATGACTAAAACAATCTCTTCATTTTTTTAATATTTGAAGCACATCAATAATTTTCAATAGAAAATGATTTTTTTGTAAAAACAAAATATTCCAAAAGGAAAAAGTTATAACTTGTTTGAAGAGTGTAAAGACATGAAAGTTGTTATGATATGTACAACAATTTCTTTAAATAAAGTCTTCTTTCTTTAACTTCAAAATCATCTCCCGTTTAACTTTTGGAATGTCTTTTTTTGTTTCAACTATCTTCTTATTCTTCATTACTATATATGTATCTTCTAATATTATTAAACTTATAAAATCATAAGATATTTTAATTTCTTTTGTTTAAATATCTTACAATAAATGGCATCAATTTTCAAATGATTTAACTATTGTTAAAATTTCTTACTTATAATTAATGTTTTTAGCATTAATGTTTTAAACTGATACAAAATAAAAAACAATTTTTTTTTACATTCTCTCTAAGACTAAATTAAATAATATTTATTATTATTTTATTATTTAAAATATTAAGATCTCATATGAATATATAATTATAAGGTTCTCCAATTATTTTCAAAAGTTATTATTAATCATATGTTAATATAATTTAAAAGAATTTCTAAGTGCAAATTAAATAATATTATTTTCAAAGTGTTCATACATTGCACAATATATTATCTTCTATTAGTTGTTTTTTCTTAATCTTAACAAAGTTACAAGTATTGCTAAAATTAATCTTTATATATATATATATATATATATATATATATATTCCTATTGATTAAATATTTATAAGTTAATCAAAATGTGTTATTAAATTAAATTAAAATTTTATTAAAATTTGAAAAGAAAGCATACTAGAAATACTTTTTAAAAAACCTAAAAATATATATTGAGTAGATAAATGATTGTTGTGATAGTAATAAAACTTTGTGTGGCAATAACAAAAATATGGTGATACTAGAAATATCCTATATATATATATATATATATTTAGATACACACATTAAAATTAAAATAATATTTTACTATTAGATTTAAATCCAAAACTAAAAATTAAAAAAAAAAATTAAAGTTAGAAAAATATAATTTTTAATACATATAATGTTCTTAAGTTATATTAAAAAATTGCATAGGTTTGAAAAAAATTATTGCATATAAAGTTTAATTCAAATATAAAAATCAGAATATATATATATATACCCAAGTTTTTACTAAATGGATCCATCTATCCTAACCATTATTAAAAAAATAAATAAAGACCTCTATATTCATTTCTCCACTATTGGATTTGCAACCTATGAAAACCAACCACATTCATCATGATTACTATATTTTTCATCAAAGGTAGGTCGATTTAATAAAAGCATGGATCTATTTAACATTCCCCTATATATGTATATTTATATATATCATTTTCACAAGTTTTAGTTGTATCAAATCATCATAGGAAGTTTTCTTAATGGTAACATAAAATACTCTTTTAAAATTAATATATATGATTTAATATGAAGTTTTGAATGGAATAACTAACTTCTTTTAGTAGAAGCAAAAATACAAAACAATATTTGGTTAATTAAATTTGTATTCATTTTACTTAATCTTTGAACTAAATTGAAAAAGGCTAATATTGCATTTTCAATTAAATAACTATGTAACATGAACGACTGTGCTAAAAAATTATGCAAAAAATTACAGATCAAAAAAATGTTGGTGGATAAACATTGGAACAAAAAATATGCTATCATTTGCTATTGGCTTAAACCCATAAAAATAAAGTTATTACCACCAGATACGACAAATTGCATTAAACTTCTGGATACTTCAGTAATCAATTTCTTAAACGCTCATAAGCACAGAATGTTTATTGAATAAAACTTAAATTTTAATATGTGGTAATCGCTGAGATATACATTTGTTAGATTCAATGCACCAGAATGTCACTTTAAGTAGAAAAAATACTTAAAGATTTGAATCTGTCTTATGTAAGTTTTCTTTTCCGTTTTTATGAAACTTGAAGACATATGCATATATGTATGTGTGAATGTATATATTCTCTTTGTTTATTTTTTATAAAAAAACCATCATACTAAACGTCAAATGAAGATTGTGGCCGCTCCTGGCCATCCAGAACCACAACTAACTGCAGAAGTTGGTTAGTCCGTTACGGTCATTGCTCTCCATGCACACTGCATGGCAACGTTGATCGGCTAGTCTGTTTCAGGTTTTGAGACTTAAGCAGTTGCAGAGGTTTTTCACCTAAAGAATGCGAGGGTAGGATCATCACAGCCCAGTTGGAATAACCCCAGAAACCTAGCTGATTTTAGCACCAACTCATGATATATCATCCTGAAGTTCATGCTGGGCCAAAGATGAAACTAATTTCCATAACACGCAATCCTAAAACCAAAACCGTAACTGTCCAAGTACCCACTTTGATGAATATAATCCACCGAAGTTTACCCACTCTTCTAACTTAAGAGATGACATGTGAACCTGCAAAAAGAATTAAGAAAAAATAATAAAAGCAACAGTTGAAAACACGCAGCAGCATAACCGGCATGCAAATTACATTCACATTCGCCCTAACTGCCAGGAATTAAGACATGTATTGCGCGATGCACCAGTAGTCACGAAGTAATAGAGGTTTTAGATCTAAATTTAAGAAGGTTGTAACAAGCATAAGCGCAAAAAGTAAGAAATTTTAGCCACCAGGCGGTTATGCAATTCTGCACTTATATGAAACACCACCAATCAGGAAGCGGTAATGTTGGCCAGCAAATTAGACCCAGCTGTTGCCAAAAATATGGATCTACACATATACAGTGATCTTACTCATCGCAAACAAGAAGCAAACCCTTTTAAACGTGTGAAGTTTACCAGAAGGAGGGAACCCTGCACTTCCTTCGTGAAAAGAAAAACTGGTACACCACTCGTGTATGGCTGACAGAAGTAAAACCAAGGCACAAAAATCAAACGATCTACAAAATTGCCGAATCTTAAGCTCAACAAACTCACACCTTTTCTGCCTCGAATGCACACGGTCTAGAAATAATAAATAGTTACTTACGCAGACTGTACTTCGTGCCAGGGCCGTGTGCAGTCCATTCATTCTTGACCGGCAGTGAGGCAAGCATCATCTGTCAAGATATACATGCCAAGGACTGGCACACACCTGCACCTCCAAGAACCAAAACTATGAATTGAAACTAGAACCAAGTGGAGGGTCTCAGCAGATTCTAAGTTGCCGATGCCTTCTATAAGTGAGCACCATGAGAAAGTCTGTCGCCGAAGGGGGTTCTAAAGGGCCACTCCCATTCGCTGGAGTAGTTGAAGCCTCACCCTGTGCTTGTGTTGATAGTAGGGTTTGCGCTTGATCAGAAACTTGCGCACTAAACCAGATATCGCGAATGCCTTCCAAGGGTAGGCTTGATACCACCGGCTGACCTCGACAAGTTATCTCTACATCCATTTCAGTTTTCACTTTGTGCGAAAGTTTTTGAACGAGATACTTCTTCACCATGGAAACAGGCAACTTTCCATCCTTGATTCGTACGTAAGGATAAGACAAGGGTGGAAGTGCGTCCTCATTGGCCTGTAAATCACCAGATTCCAGATGAAACCATATCCCAGTTGAAGTAGTCCTTGAAGATTGACCTGAAACCGGAGTTCCCAAAACTGGACGAGCAGTATTGCGTATTATAGAGGGCCGTTCCACGACACCATTCAGAGTTTGTCGTAAACGCACTTGCAACGACTGACCGTTTGAAGTGGCCGGAGAGCTGTCTTTAAGGTTTGAGCCTACTTTAGCCAAGACTCCCTCCCTGACGTCCCTTTGACCAGGGACTGATTTGCTGCCACTGCTCGGAGTGTGCATGTAAGGCAATGTAGGAGAAGGTGGACCAGAGCCCATATCTTCCCTGGCGGCATCTGCATTAGCGACTTGAGCAAGAACATCCAAAGTATTTATTGCATCTGCCTCCCTGTCAGCTCTACCAGAATTCGAAGATCCGTTATTCTTGCGGGAACCCCTTGCATTTTTCAAGCTCTCCCGTGACCCTAATAATGAACCAGATTTTTTGTTGCAATTAGAAAGAGTCTTCAGTCGATGAGTCAGTTTCGACGTTGTAAAGTGTCCAGAGATTGATGCTCGCAGGAACTCTGCATCGCCTGTAAGAGTAGATGCCAGGTCCTCCATCCGTCCCCTAGGCTCTGAATGAGGGTACACTTTGACATCTGGGGCCTCATCTGGAGACCGCGACCTTGTACACCGTCCATTGTAAGATAATTTCAATGTTGTGCTGGGTTCGTCTTCTGAGAGATCATCTACATCGTCGTCGTCATCATCCTCAAGGTCCTCGTCAATGCTGCTTGGCTCACTGCTGCCATGGTTACCTGGTAATACCCTCGTTTTTCGATTGGCATACCCTGGATTATCAGCCGGTGTGCCCTTTACCCCAAGAGAGTAGAGAGACCTTTCTTTGCGTCTAGTCGCGTTCGATGTTTCTGGACTACCTAATACCAGCCCCAGCTTCCTCTTCTTCACATTGCTAGGGAACAGCTTCTCCTTTAAATCATTTAATTGATGATCCGCCCTTAGTTTTTCCAGTGGGAGAGTTCCGAGGCCAACATGACACACAGGGCAGCACTCCGATTCCCCATTAGTAAGTTCCGCAGCAATACAATCTTTACAAAACGTGTGGAGACACTCTGATATTGTTGTTGCTTCCCAAATCAAGTAGTTGCACAGAGGGCAGGTTAGGCATGTCAATAAAGGCGCCTTCGGTATGCGCACTTCCTTGTAAGTCACGCCTTTTCTCCCACTGTAGGGCATTGTTCTTCCTCAAATAAAACTTCAATGCATCCACTACCAGCAACCTTCCTGCTCGTTGAGGCAGCTAAATCACTACTTCAACCATGTAAAATCTTACCGATCTTACAATTGTCCGCCAACGTCACCCTTTCCGGAATTTGAATCGTCTCACTGCATGGACAATATATCAGCCCACATGCGATTAGTCGACCAGGATGCATACAAGCAGACGTGAGAATCAAAATTGAAAGCTTCGACACGTGAGGGAATATTACATCCTCGAAAAAAAACCGTACTAGACTAACTATCGTCATCGCCATATCCACCACGGTGTATCCATCACACGCCAACACGTTATGCAATTTCATCGGCCCTCAAAAGTGATCGATTCTCCACCAACCGACGATAACCAAGAAGAGTATCAGCTGTGGCTCATGCACTTAATGAAAAAAGAACCCACAGAGAGTGCGCAGATGGCAACGTCGCTATTCGAAGCCACTCATCGTCCCTACAATCTCTAGAACAAAGAATAACACACGGTACGCGACATCCCAATGTTCACCTTTACCCAGGCGTAGCTGACTACACAATATCTCCGTACGCTGTCGCCAGCATGGGCCTATGTTAAAAATCCCCTTAGCTGAGTAATCCATGACCAACGCAAATCGCCAAGAAACAACAACATGACAGGAAAATTTACGTGCAATCTCGACCTAGGGCAAATTTCATCTTGCCCACATCACATAAACTTCTTTTTTAAAAAAACAATTAAAAATATACATGTACAAATTATAAAAATCTGCATCTAAGCTCACGCCAGTCAGCTAACGGGAATTAGTTTCTCTGATGATCAATCAGCATGCATCATCGACGTCATTAGCCACACCGTACCTCCACGTCAATCAAAAAACTCGCCCAGTTTCTCCAAACACCCACACTAACGCCGCAAATAATAAAACAAAGACCTCCCTCCACTAGCGTCACCACCTCACCTCTTCCTCCTCTACACTCCCTGCCCCTCGCCATAGCCAGCCAGCACCAGTTTCCTCCCTCCCCAGCTCCCAGTTTGCAATCTCTCCCCAATCACCAGGAAGCTCAAGAAAGAGAACCCCCCCACCACCGTCGTCCACCCCGATGCAACAACACCCATCACGAATGGACCATCATTGTCCGTTTTCAAATGGCCCATGACGACGACGACGATGACGACCCATCGCCCCATCCGTCCCCGCCTCCTCCTGTCCGTCCCCGACCATTCACCCCACAATTTGACGCCTTCCTTGCTCCCCTTCCGCCCCCTCCTCGCCGCCTTCTGCCAACGACGTGCCCAATTACACCTCCGGCGCACGCTCACCATGCATCGCCGAATTGCCGTTATGTTTCGGTCTCATGGGTGGTTGCGACGACGACGACAACGACGACGACGACGACGCTGCTGCTCGCCCCGCCTGCTGTTAGCCACCCCAAACCCCAACTAATCTTCGTCCATTCGGAATGTTCTCCGTCGCCATTGTTCATCCATCCTTCCCTATTCCCTCCCCATTCCTCGTCGCCCCTCGTCGCCTCTCGTCGCTTTTCGTCTGCTCTGTTCGTTCAAAGGCTAACTACACTCTGTTCAGAGAGGGGTTTGTCAGTCCTACCATGCGATCTCGCCCTCGTTTCATCCCCACCGTCCATCCCAGTGCCCACCCCACTGTATTAATCGACCGCGCCGCATCGGACGGTTACAGGCACGTGAAACGCAATCCGACGGCTGCGGCTCTTGGCTTCGTGTTCCAAGGCTCACGATAGAGAAAGGGCCTTGACGACACATGTGAAGCTTGTGCGGGCCTGCACCCTCCCGAACGCTACCTCCAGTCTCTCAGTGCCCCTTCTTGTCCGCTCTCCGCTTCGCCCCAACACATTTCTTCTCCTCTCTCTCTCTCTCGCTTGGTGTCCCCTATGCGCGATTCCCAGCTCACGATTCCTCCCAGGATTGTCGAAAGCCGCTTTGCTTGCTTGATGGTGCTGGCATCCGGAAGCATTCCATCGCTGAAGCCACTCTTTTTGTAACGCGCGTGCTGCATCGACTCCGACGGTGTGACCCTCCGCAACTGCTGCTTCTGCTTGAACGGTGGACTTGGCGGAGCTCGTTGCTGAGGACGCCGTGCCATGACTTCCACCGTCTCAGTGCCGGGACACTGGCTCTCTCGCTCGGTCTCTGGAGCGTGTGCCTTTTTGTGCATGCCTGTGAACGAATGTAGCATCCTCATCACTTCTGTGAGTCCGTGGATGAGAATCATCCTGATGACCTTTCTACCCTGTGATCTTCTTCATTTATCTTATTTCCCTTCTCTTTTTCTATAAGAATTCTTAATTTGTATTTTTCAACAGTGCGTTTCGAAACAGAAAACTACCGCAGTTTTAAAGATACATACGAGCATCTTTGGACATGTATTTAAAAAATAAGGAATTTTTTCTTTTATGAAAAATTTAAAACGTAGGTGTATACTCTCTTGATGCAATCAACTTGTTGAATGATCTTTATCCATAAGATTTTGGTATTGTGAAAGTAACTTCAAATATACCATGAGCTTAATATGGATTTGGATATATATATATATATATATATATATATTTATATAATTATTTAATTGCTGATATGGGGTAGGGATAATTTCTGAGCATGTTTTTGTCAAGCATGGTTTTGAATTTTACAATTAGTATTCAAATTGCCATTATTTTTTGGAACAATTTTAAAACTGTCAAGTTCAACTTGCCTTCTTCTAATTCTTTAGGATCATTGTAGATGGTTGAAGCAACATTTGAGAAACAAGAAACCTCTTCTATGTTGTCTTATGTTACAAAAGTTCATTAAAAAATGTTCTATGATAAACTGATCTTCCTTGCATTCTAGAAATTGCACAATTGATCCTCTTCAAATGCTTTCATTAAACTATAATATAGAATTGTATGCATTAAAAAGCGTATAGAATTAAGGTTACTTCAAAATAATTTATATAATTTTTAAAAAAATGATGTAATTGTTTATTTGAAATATCTTGTAATGTCATTATATATTTTTTATTATTTTTTATTTATAATTGAGAATATATAATATATTGTAATTTTTTAATAAATATATTAATGTGAAAAACATGATTAGTGATTTATCAGTTAAATAATCATAAATTATTCTTCTACATATTTATGTACAAATTATAAAGTATTGCTAATATTGGAGGCCTCTACTTTGTTTTGAGAATAATAATATATATATATATATATATATATATATAAGAAAAAATTGTATAAAATAAAATAGAATATAACAATGAATCACAATACAAAAAATAATTACTAATCTGTCTATAGACAAATTACTAATCTGTCTATCAAATGATATTTTACTTCAAATTTTAAATACCACAAAATAAGATTTCATGTTTTATTTTATTACTAATCTGTCTATTTACTATAGACAAATTACTAATCTGTCTATCAAATGATATTTTACTTCAAATTTTGTAGATAAAGTTTTATAATATTTTCTTTTTGTCGCTTTGCAATTTCACAAACCAAACAGTCATGCTTCATGATTGGAAGTGGGAGGAAGACACAGAAGAAAGCAATGTAATCACCATCAACAATATATACGTCCTTCAGTTTACATGATCACATGCAAGAAAACATTTATATAATACATATTGTAAAGAATACATACTGATATATACACACAACTCATTACTTAAATTTTTCACTACCAATTTATTTTTTATTTTATATATATATATATATATATATATATATATATATATATATCTGCATACAGTTTCACATTCACTGATAATTTTTAAATTTTTTATCATTATTATTATTATTATTATTATTACTACTTTGCAATATGATTAGATTATTTTACATTTCAATTTACTAAATTTGCCACTAAATCCTTAGAGTTTAAGATAAAACAATCCACACAGGCAGGAAATTAAGTATTTTGATTCATTTTTGTTGTTATATAATAGGCTTTTTTTTGGTTAAAGTAATTATTTTGAAATGGGTTCTTAAATTTAAATTTAAGATCAATATTTTAAATAACCATAAATTACAATAACAACACTTGTAATAACACACAATATAAAAAAAATATTTTTTGTAGATTGTACACTAAAAAAAACTGAAGTTTTTTTCAGATAATAAAAATGTCATTTTTCTCAACTCATATATTCCAAATATATTCATCAAATAGAAAACTAATTAATGCTGATCAAAAAGTTTGCTAACTTAATTTAAGCAATTTGTATACTTATTTTAGTTCAAATGAGCTACAACATAAGATTTTTAAATTTATAAAAGTCTGTTTACATCCAAAAGTGTCCAAAAGTGCAAGCATGGTTAAGCTGTGATAAAAAAGAATGCGATGTGGTGGGGATTTGAGAGGAGAATTTCTAGATATCTCAGGAGTCTAAAATCGAAATACAAACGTCTTTAACCTTGTCATACATTCTGCTCATACAAGCGTCTTTGATGCGTTCAGTTCTCGCATCTGCAAAGTGTTTTTTGACACACGAGGTGATTACAACAACTACTACCGTGGGGCTGCATCGATGTGGAGGGATGGCGTCCAGTTTCGTTCTGAATTTTCTTACCTAGCAACGGCAAGTGAAGCCCATCAACGACAGTATAAGGTGTAAGCAGAGCTAGAGGACCACGATCCTGAGGGAGAAAGAATCTGTAACCGTGTGAGCTGGGCGACAGAAGGAGTCTCTTTGCAATGAGACAATGTCGGTAAAGACACTGTTGAAAGGGGCAAAACAATGGTGGCATGGCGGTCGAGGACTTGAATCTATGGATCACAGCATGCTGTCACTCGGGCTTGAAATTCAAAAAAGGATTTTTACAAACAAGTTGCAGAGCTAAGCGAGCCTGGTACTGTGAGCGAGAAGCTGAAGCTTTCAAGCATCAGGTTTACCCTACGAAGATCACGCACCGACTGGTTACGTTATGCTAGCTTTTTAGTGTCGACGCTTACTGAAGCATGAAGATCAAGGATTGCATTTATTAAAATTATATTGTGATACAAATTGTTCATCTTCGTATGCTAGACTATGAACACTGTCTACAATACAGAGGAGAACAATGCATTTGTAAGTATCAGTGTTATCAAAATGGTGTAAACTATGTCTAATGATTGTGCTAGATTTAAAAAAATATTTTAACGTAATGTCAACCCTCATGGTCGATCTCAGAGTATATCTAAAATCTTAGTATTAAAATCATAGAATTGATATTTTTTTGCATAGTAAATAATATTAGAGGCCAATGTGTTTTGAAAATTTTAATTTTTTTCTTCATAAAACAATTGTGCTTAAAATTTAGAAGGAATAATAAATTTCTTGAATAATGGTTTGAATATATATATATATATAAACACTTTGTATTTGTAATTATATACTTAGCATTTAATAGACATAATAATAAAAATTGGTTGATTTTGATTTTGCCACAAAATTAAATAAGAAACAAGTTAGAAAAAATAAATAAATATGTATTGATGCATATTTGTATTACTAATTTAATTTCTAATGCACCAATTGTATAAAAGATAGGAAATTAACATAGATAAAGATACCACCATGAAAAGATACAATTGTATTATATAGTTTTATAAAAGTATCAAAAGATTTATTTATTTTGTATAAAAATTTAACAAGATGAAAGAAAAGAAAATCTAGATATTATGAAAAATAAGATAATATATAAAATAAGATTTAAATAACTTTTTTAAAAATACTTAATCTAATAGTGGTTGATTGAGTAGAAATGGATTATTATTCTATTATTATATATACTATAAATAAAATTTAAAGAAAATAGAGATAAAACTTAATTTAATCATATAAAATTTATTAAAAAAATCAAAGATATTATTATTATAAAATAAAAAACCACTAATTTTTTTAATATTTTATATAAATATTAAAATAAAAGTTTTATTTTTAAATAATTAGCTAATAATAAATTTAAAAACTTCGTAAAAAATAAAAGATGGTTAAAAATTCAATATATGGTAATAAGTTTTATATAGCTATTAAATTATATATATACATATAATATTATTTAAAAATTATAGTAATTTTATTTTTTGTGGTAGATATAATAATTATATATTATATTAAAATATATAAATAAATAAATCATTCTAATTAATACTAAAAAATATTGGATAGACCAATTTTTTTTTATAAACTTGTAGTACAAAAAATTAACTCCTAAATATAATAAATAAAATTTATAATTGATTTTTTTCAAAATGTATCTTTGTCATAGATATTAATATTGGCATTAATTATTAAGAGGATAAGATAAGTTAGATAGAAGTAAAAATAAGTAAATTTGATAATATCTTATAAAAAAGCCTTTTAGAAGTTTTGTAGATATGGATTTGACTTAACGAGTCTTTGTAGAAGATTGATAAGTTAAAAACTTAGCCAAAAAGTTGCCTTTGTGTTTCACATATTAACTACTTGTGATACAAGTAAGCCATGTGGCATATAAGTCAAAAATTTAATCTATAAATTAGATATATGTTTCACAAATTAGATATGTATTTAATGCTTTATAAAATATTGCCAAGTAGCTATTTAGTCAAATAGTATATGTGAAGACAAGAATGAGGTCTTTTTTACTTTTATTCATACCTTTATGTATTCTTATCTTAGCTCAAGAATCTCTAGTTTCTTTGTATTTGGCAATAGCCATTTTAATTTTTATTATATATCTATTTTTAATTTATCTATATTTTTTTCTATAGTATCATAAGAATATATTACTTCTTTAGAGTTTTAATATAATTCATATCTTTGACAATTTGATAAGAGTCTTAATATATATATATATATATATATATAGAGAGAGAGAGAGAGAGAGAGAGAGTTTTAATATAATTCATATCTTTGATAATTTGATAAGAGTCTTAATATATATATATATATATATATATATATATATATATTTATTATTTTATAAATGAATATATTATACCACTTCATATGATTGTGTTTTAAAGATTATAGACTATACACTTCTAAATTAATTTTTAATTTTTTTTAATATTAATCGATTTTTTAAAATAAATGGACTATTCTTCTTTGTAGAAATTTTGATTTTATATTCGACATTATTGAGTATCC